CAGATGAAGGCCCGTTTGGTTGATCAGGCTAATCGAACGGTTTGCGTGTTGGTGAGTTCCACATTCTAATAATGGAATATAATAACTCCAAATTATATACAATAGGTGTCCATTATGTTTTGGAGGAGAGCACTTTGTCCTCCACATAGCGCAAATTCGACGTCTGCTGGCACCCACCACGCAACCATCACCATAAATAAATAGCAGCAGCAACTGATGTAGAAAAAAAAATAATAATAATAAAAGAAAGAGAAAAAAAAAAACAGAAAAGGGGGGCTAAGGGCATACCAGCGGGTGTTTTATTAACCAGTTTAGATGGCAGAGATACAGCGCATCCATTAAAAGTGGCCCCATATTTCTGTTCAAGCAGTTGAACGCGCGTTCAGCTGCAACTTTTTTTTTTTTTAAATCAATTATTTATTCATATTATTTTTCTTTTTTATATTTATTAATTTTATCTTGTGCATATAAAAAAACGATATAATAGAAGAGAAGGTATTTAAAAATATAAAATAAAATAAAAATCGTAACTTAATAAATGAGAAAAAGAATAATTTAAAAAAGTTAATCTAAATATTATTAAACACTTCTTTATGTACAATATCCGTAGTTTTTCTATCGTCAGAATCCCCATCAGAACAAATCATTATCGTTAAACCTCTTCGACTTGTGACTGTGGGATTTGATTTTTCAAAATATTTGAGGTATCTTTGTAAAAAAAAATTATTATTGTATCGCTGCAATAGAAAATAGATATATTTGTAGTCGTTCTTAATTAGTTGTGAAATATGGATTTATATCATACCAAAAAAATATATAGTATCAAAATAAAAATAAAAATATTTTGTATTTCAGGACATACAAAAGCGTTACAGAAATGAGCACCATCCAAAATGGGAAATGTCAAAATAAATTGTGTAACTGAAAGTTACATATTATTATTAAATGGTGAACATATTTTTATTAAATGAACGCCTATTTTATTAAATTAACTCATATTATTATTAATTGCTGACTGAATAAAATTTATTGAAACTTGCCAACAATTATATATATATATATATATATATATATATATATATATATATCATATTGATAAATTTATATTTTATCTATATCATACTTTACAATATGTATCAATAATTTATGTTTTCTATTTTCTCATTCTTTTTATGACTATAAATACACAATGGGTTACAACTCTCTTACACCAAAATATTTAGCAACTTCTCTTTTACTTACAAAAAATGGATCCAAATTTTCAAAATTTACCAAATTCGTGCAGACTTAGTTGAGCATATTTGGACTCATTTGCTACCAATTAAAAAGTTTTTTTTTTCTTCTACCATTTTTCATTTGTAATCTTAATTTAAGTTTTTTTTAATTATTAATGTTATTTTTATTTTTCAGCATTTAAAATTAAGTATTCTAATTAATAAAACATATTTATCTTTATTAATAATAGAATATAAAAATAATATTAAATGAGTGGGTAATGAGTCTAGTATGTTTGTATTTAAATAAATTAATCAATGTGGTGTGTGTTAAATGGAGAGATTTACAGAAAAAATGACGTAGACATGATGCGGATATGAACGAGAAATAGTACAAATTGAGACTTTTTTTTTTCACAATAAATTGAGACTTTCTTTTTTTTCAACAATAAACAAGTCATAATATAAAACTCGGAAACAAAGTCATTACATCGAGTACTTAAATTGAGACTTAATGAAGCTCTAATGGATGTAGATGCAATAATTCGATTCGTTCTGACCAAATACAAAATAATAAGGGGCTCGCCTTAAATAAATTAACTCCAGTTCGTTGACGAGCATTTCTGTTAGAAATAAATATAAATATATGCAGAAAAACTGGCCGTGTCTTTTTACTTCGCCACCGTCAAATTAATATAGACCTCTCTCTCTCTCTCTCTCTCTCTCTCTTTCTCTCTCCGAATAGTAGGGAACACTTATGCGTTGTTTATTAGATATTCAGGAAGAAAAAATAAATCAATTATGGTTCTTGGAGCTCAAACCGAGTAAACTAGCTGGCTGGTGAAGTACTGTAGCTTTTGATTGAAAACTTCGCTTGATGCATTTGGATTGGCGATTTCGTTTGGTGAAATCAAGAAAGTTCATCACTTTGAGGGTTGAGATATGGGAAAAAAATATTACATCTTTAGGAAGATGTGATTTTCATTTTGCGCTGTTGAGCTGAATAGGGATAGGTTTTTGTCTTATTTTGGCTTTCTTTCTTTCTTTATCTTTCTTTTTTTTTTTTTGGGTACAAT